AAAAAAAAAAAAAGAAATATGAAAAAAAGAAGAAAAAAAAAACTGAATAAATAGAGTTTAATCTGGAGTCTCTGGGTGGTGCAAATGGTTAAGCTAACTGAAAGGTTGGTGGTTGGAACCTGACCAGAGGCACCTCAGAAGAAAGGCTTGGTGATCCACTTATGAAAGGTCACAGACTTGGAAACCCTGTGGAGTAGTCCAACTCTTGGATCAGCCTGACCAACCTGTTCTCTTAGGATTCTTATGTATACATAAAATTCTGATTCAGTGTATGTGAGGTGGAAAGGCAAGTTCTCAGCAGGGGATTGAACCAGAATGAATTGGTTTGAAGCCTTGCTTTGGTGAGTAACTTCATCACTGGGCTCACTGGTTCAGTGGCTGATGGATCTTTTTTCTGTTACAGATGATGGGAGGCAAGGGCCTTAAACAGGCCACGGAAATTGCTATATTAAATGCCAACTACATGGCCAAGAGATTAGAAAAACACTACAGAGTCCTTTTCAGAGGTGCAAGAGGTAAGTATCAACTTTAGTCTCTTCAATAACCTTGGTTTATTCTTTTCCAAACCACATTTGACCTAGTAGATGTGGTTTTCTGAACTAAGGTGGGCAACCTCTGTCTCAGTATATACCAAGCAAAAGTGTAGAGTTATTGGAAATAACTTCAATTTACTGAACACGTTAGGGGTATTACCATATGCCAAGTTAGGCTGGCTGCTGTGTCTACGCAGTCCGTGTCAACAGGGAGCCCACGCAATGGAAAGATGTGAACACAAATGCCATGAACCCATTCCCTAACAAATTGTTATAGAGATGCCCTAAAATTGTGGAATAATGTGACTAGATGGAGGCAGGGTAGAAGAGTTGTTCTGAGAGGAGCCATTCCAGATAGCCTGGAATGAAAAGTAGATAGTACCAGAGTGAATAAAGATACAGGAACAACTTGGAGAAAGATGAGTTACCTGGATTTCTGGAGTGTGAGTGGGTTTAAGGATAGGATAGGAGGAGAGGGAATAGGTGAGGATGAGGTTGGAGACATAGCAGGAGGCCTTGATGGTCTTGGAAGGCTCTGGACTTTACCCGTCAGCCAGAAGGTAGCCATTAAAAGTTGTTTTTTTTTTTTTTTTAATTCTTCTATTATTTTTGTTGTTGAAAATACACACAGCAGAACATACACCAATTCAACAATTTCTACATGTACAATTCAATGACAGTGATTACATTCTTCAAGTAATCATTCTAACCCTCCTTTTCCAAATTATTCTTCGCCCATTAACATAAATTCACTGCTTCCTATTTAAACTTTCAAGTTTTTTTGTGTGTGTGATTTGGGTGAAAGTTTACGGAAAAAATTTCTTTTCCATTCAAAAGTTTGTTTTGTGACATTGTTTGCAATCTGCACAATGTAACAGCTCTCTTAATTTCCTCCCTGTAGTTTCCTTTTGCCTGTGTCCTTTCCTGTCCATTCCTACCCTCTGAACTATCCCCCTATTCAAATAGTACCCTTCTGATCTGCTATGTTGATTGATCTAAAGAGTGTACCTACTTGTGTAAAGGTTCACCCTACACTCCTGTCTATTGTTTGGCTGGAAGCCATGGGACTGAGTTTAATTCCAGGTTAGATGGATGACTAGGGGCCATAGTCTCAGGGGTTTCACCAGTTTCTATCAGATCAGTGCGCTTGGTCTTTTTCTGATTTTGAGTTTTGTTCCATATTTTTCTCCCACTCGATCCAGGATCTCCTATTCAGATCCCTTTCTGTGTGGTTGATAGTGGTAGCCAGGCACCATCTAGTTCTTCTGGTCTCAGGATCATGTAGGCTAAGGTATGCATGATCTACTAGTCCCTTGGACTAATTGTTTCCATGATCTTTGGTTTTCTTCACTCTTCTTTGCTCTGGACAAGGAGAAACCAATTGTTGCATCTTAGATGGCTGCTAGCAAGCTTTTAAGGCCCTAGTCACTACTCAACTGAAGTAGGATGTAGAACAATGTTTTCGTGTAGTTATGTAATGCCAATTGAGCTTGATGTCCCTTGTGACCATGGTCCTGAACCCATGGGCCCAGCAACTCACTCCCTCAAGGAGTTTGTCTGTGGCTAAGAAGTTATAACTTTGTCTCCTGTGAGTTCTATTATATGTGTGGACATTCTTACTCACCCTCAAAAAAAAACTAAACTCACTGCCGTGAGTCGGATACAACTCATAGCGACCCCTCCTTGGGTTTCTGAGGCAGTATCACTATGGAAGTAGATTGTCCGACCTTCCTTCGGAGGAGTGGCTGGTAGGTTTGAACCATCAGTGTTCTGGTTAGCAGTCAAATGCCTTAGGCAGTACGCCACCAGAGCTCCTGGACATTCTTATAGCACATACCAATGTGTATGTACAAAGATCATCTCCCAAACTTATGTATGGTCATGGACATATTCCCTTTTGCCTAGACATACATGATTATTCAGCCTGCCTACCTATGTAGCTGCTTATAGATTAGTATTTGTTGTTATTGATAATGCAGTATTGTGTATGTAATATGCATATGGAAGCACATATGCTTGGAATTGCTACCCTGATTTACCATAACTATTTCAAAGCCTTTTGTTGTTTCTTACCTTTATGAATAATTATATTAATTCTTATATGCACAAGGCCTGACATACAGTTTATGCTCAGCTCAGCATAAACTGATAAATTGTTAAAAAATTATTATTTAAATTAAATAAATTATTAATATTATTATTAATAATATAATATTAATATTGATTGACTACTATTCATCAGGCACTGTGAGAGGCCACATAGCTACAGTTACAACCATTGAAGTTGATCATAAATAAACAGTGAGCTTCAGCCAAATTTAAACTTGGCCTTTGATTTACCTTGGAAAAACACAATTCTTTTGTATACAAGTCTCAATACCAGGATTAGAAGAACTTTAATGAAGGCTTTCTTTGCAATTGGCTGCTAACCTATACTTTGTCTTCTCAAGCCACCCTTTGAAATCTGTTCAGCTCTTTTATTTCATCATTTCTCCTATTTGCTTTAGCTACTCTAATTTGAACAAGTTTCAGAGTCTCTCCTGATATCGATTTTTGTTATTTTCTCTTTCCTGTCTTTTTAATGACTTTTGTTTTCTTCATGGATGATGTCCTTGATGTCAGCCCACCACTCACAGTCTTTGGTGAGTAAGGGTGGTGACTTACTGAAGTGTGATGCATCCCACCCTTATCCTGCTTCGTTAACATGCAAAAAAAACCTCACTGCCATACCAAGGCAGTATCACTCAGAAAGTAGATCGCCCAACCCCAACCTTCCTTCAAAGGAGCGGCTGGTGGGTTTGAACCTCTAGCCTTCTGGTTAGCAGTCAAAGGCCTTAGGCACTACGCCACCAGAGCTCCTTCATTAACATACAAGAATAACCTAATTCTCTTTAGGATTACCTAATCCTGCCTCATCAATCATAGGCAGAGTTTAGAATTTACAACACATCACAAAATGGAGGATAATCATCCAATACTGGGAATTATGGCGTAGTGAAATTGACATATATTTTGGGAAGGGGCACAATTTGATCGATGACAAGTGCATTAAAGGTTTTTTAAGGGATAGGATTCATTAAGAGACCGTTAAAATAGTTAAGACATTGGCAGGGATGAACATACTATTTAGCTGTAAAACCAGTTGGATTTAGTTATTGTTTAGTTTATTGTGAGGAAGAAACTAGATGACTCTAATGTCTTGGAGGCATCCCTGGGTAGTGCAAAAGGTTAAACCACTCAGCTGCTAACCAAAAGGTTGGTTGTTCAAGTCTACCGAGAGGTACCTTGGAAAAAAGGCCTGATGATATACTTAAAAAAAATCAGACATTGAAAACCCAATGGATGGTGGGAGGGTAGGGAGCTGAGGGAGTAGGGGAGGTAGGGTTGGGAGTGGCCATGAATTTAAAAACTGGTTTTGCCTTATAAATATGTATCCAAAAGGATGGTTCTGGAATTTGAAAACAGAAAAGAACTAAATAATCTGAAGGTCTGGTTAGGAAAGCTCTCTCAGAGAGTAGAAAAGAAAGTTGTGTGCAACGTGTCTCTAAGCAACGAAATAAAAGGCTTCTGAAGTAGGTATTAAAGAAACTACAGGAGCCACTTATTAATTCAAAAATAGCTCCTTTGGGGAGAAATGTATCCTGTTTGTGTACTGGCCTTCAGGATTAGTTTAAATATTTGTTTGATTATATAAGTAATGTATATCTACTCAACATGGAAATTCTGAAAAATAGAAAATTATGAGGAAGAAAGTTTACATTGCCCATGGTTCTATGACTCAGATGAAACCAGTATATTTTGCTTATTTCTTTCCTGGCTTACTTTTTATACAATTTAAGATCATATTATAGACGTAATATGTATCCTGTTTTTTAGCTTACACTGTGAACTTTTCCCTACATCACTGAATATACTTTGAACAGGTCTACATTGAGTCTACTGCATATACTAGGGTTTGTTTTTTTTTTCTCCTCTAGGTGTTGCATTATAATAATGTTGCAATAAAACACCCTTAGATTTTTTTTTTCAGACAATGCTGGTTATTTCCTTAGGATAGTGGCTTAGAAGAGAAACGGTCAGCTTAAATGCATTTAAACTCATGATATGCATGGCCTTATTCCCTCCTGCCCCAGACATTGTATCAATTTACTTCACAGGAAAAGCATGTGAGTGTCTACTATGTGAACATGTCTACTGTGCGGGTCCACCATGTGAGTGTGTCTACCGCGAGAGTGTCCACCAGGACACAGTGTCCACTGAGAGCGTCCACCTTGAGAATGTCCACTATGTGTGTGCCTGTTTGAGTGTGTCCCCCATGAGAGAGTATATAAGTGGCCACCATTTGAGTGTCTACCGTGTGAGAGTGTCCACAATGAGAGAGTATCTACCTCATCAGGGCCTTGAGAGGACTGAGAACCAGACTGAAAAAAACCAAACCAAAACAAATCTGCCAATTTGATGGGTGAAAAACGATTTTGCTTTAATTTAGGAAGTTTATTTTTTTCCCTAATTGTTTATGTATCTATTTAAAACTTACTTATAATTCATTTTTAAGGTATTCAGGTGACATAGTGGTTAATGTATTCAGCTGCTAACTAAAAGGTTTGTGGTTCGAACTCATTAGCCACTCTGCAGAAGAAATATGAGGAAGTCTGCTTCCATAAAGATTTACAGCTTGGAAAGCCTATGGGGCAGTTCTACTCTGTCCTATAGGGTCACTATGAGTCAGAATCGACTCAATGACAGTGGGTGTGGTTTTGGTTTTATGATTAATTTTATTTGACAGCTTTACTGAGAGATTCACATACCATACAATGCAGTCAGTTAAAGTGCTCATTTTTGTGACATGCAAGTGTTTTTTAGGTACCTACCATGAATCTAAGGAGCTCTGATGGCATAGTGCCTAAGGCACTTGACTGCTGAACGGAAGGTTGGCTGTTCAAATTCACCAGCCACTCCTCGGAAAGAAGATTAGGCAATCT